TAATTCAGAACATATAAATGATTACATAATTAAAGATAAAGTAATCTTCTTCTTTTTTTTCACTAGGAAGATTTTATTTAAAACACACAAGATACAACATAGCAAGCCTACAAAAATAAGAAAATTTGTCTTTCTCATGTTTTCACCGACCACGTTCAATAAACTGGATTTAACCAAAACACATGTCGAGTGTATAATCTGAAGACAAAGTAATCTGAATATCATAAAATAGTCAATTCATTATTTTGAAGACTGAATAATATTAATTATGTTATTTAAAAATGATCTTTTATAAAGAGGAACAACAAAAACGGAAAAATATTCCAAAACAAAAACATGTAATATGAGATAAATCGCAAATTAATTTAACAACAAATAAGTGAATAACTAAATAAATAAAAATAAATTAAATCATTATCCCACGTTCACAATGCAGAGATCGTGTTTATTTTGATAAAATTACTCAGTCTACACCATCTCCCTCAATTCTCTCAAAAGACATCCGTTACTTTGCAAACAAATAGCATTACCAAGAACCATTGAAGAATGTCACGAAGTTTGGAATCCTCTGTTTGACCTGCAAAGCTTGAAGATATAGTGTACTCAGGTTATGCATGAGATTAACCCAACCCTATCGATAAATTGATATTTAGTACTCTGAGAACTTCATTTAAGTTCATGAAACATACAGGTAGATGGACACTACAATAAATAAGAAAAGGAGAAAGGAAAGGTCGTCACGCATCGCAGATAAGAGGAACAAAAAAGATTCCAGCAATAAAGGTAACTCTTCTATCTCTTTGTCGTATCATACAAATCAATATTGATATCCAGTAACACATTTGTTTGTCTAAAATTGTAATATAGAGATGAGAGTGAGATTCCATCTCGCAGTTGTTTTACACGTGTATTTATTCTCACCCCAACCAATTAATTAGATTAGTAGCTTTTTTTTTTTTTTTTTGCTTTTTGTTAAAACTTTATGAAATATATATACTCTCTTACATTAGAATTTGATTAAATTCCCCAATTATTAAAATATTTAGATTACACCAAAATAAATGTTAGATGCCAAAATATATTTAAATTTTAATATAAAAATTTAATAAATACTATGTCCGTGCATAGCACGGGCCGTAATGCTAGTTTCTGATAACTCAGTCGATCAAAACCAAGACAATAAATTTGATGAGATAAAAAAAGGACCCGATTATTTTTTATAGGAACCTTGCTTTGAATCTTTACATTTGAACCTTTAATGGTCTATTTAGATTGAATTTTTCAGCAATATATCTCTCATACCAATTTTTTTTTTGTCTTTTTGAAATATATATTCTTTTCTTTGATTATGACATTAGGATATTGGAATTGACATGCAAGGATCAAGAAATGTCGCATATTATTAATTTCTCACAGGATCTCATAATTTATTTATCAACATCGACGATGATGTATGTTCAGTCGCAGAGACCAGAGACGATGAAATATGATATTTAATTACTACTTAGATAAAATTAAAATTAATTTTGTGTCTTCTTAAGGCGTAAGATATTGTCTTTGATACTCCACCTTGTTTAACCTACGTTGTTCGAGCCGGATGCTTCTCGAGTCAATTGGACGACTGAAATGTTGTTGCTGACACGATTCTGGCATTCCCTATGGAAGCCATCAGTTATATGAAGTTGATTCCTCAACCTAGCTAACATAGCATCACGGGATTCTGCCGAGGAATAATTGAGTGTCGTTGCAAGCAAGAAGGCTTCATACGCCTTCTTGTTCCTTTCCTCTGCAGACTCTTGTTCGATGTTCAATAGGTTCTTCACATCATCATCGATCACCTAAAAACATTTTAAGAAAACAAATTGTCAGAGAAAGACCAATTAGCTACGAATCAATAAAATAAAATAAAAATTCTCAATACCATAATTTCAAAATGTACCTTGTTTTCCACGCCAAAGGCACAAAGTAATGCTTCATAGGCCTGCTTCTCGAGCTCTTTAAGCATTTGCTTCTTCTCCTGTTCGCTCAATTTTTGTTATGCGCTTGATGAAACTTATGTTTGAGTTTTTTTTGGTTATTAGTCAAACTTATGCTTGAGTTTATATATACAACATACATGATTTGGAATTATGCTGAGTAAAGAAAATAATCTAGGAGTGTTTTATCTTCTATGCATATCTTTATATATATATTATTAAATGAGAAAGTTTATATGTTTTCCAATCATCTAATACCATATTTTGTCTTAATTACTTTAGAAAAAAAATCTAAATTTCAATTCTTATATGGATATAATTGTGTATAAGCTTTCTTATTTCAAAGAGAGAGTTTATTTTATATTTATATATAGAAATTTATATTTCCTTCTCATTTTGTAAGAAAAAAAATCATAAATTTTATATTCTTTGTAGAGATATACATACTTTGCACAAAAAGAAATACAAATATACATACTTAGTTTGTCACTTAAAAATAACAAGTGGTGGCAATTTTGTAGAAAGAACAAAGAGGACTATCATACTTTGCGCAAAAAAAAATATATTAAGCTCTACATAAAATTGTTCAAATATTTAAAGTATAATTTGAAAATTCTAAACTCTAAATCCCAAAAACTAATATATTAAACCTTAACTTTAAAAATATTAGTAACCATCAAATCTAGTAAATGGCCTATTTTTAGTTAGATATTTTTCCTAAATATGATTTTGCATTGCAATTATATATCTTACATTTTTTCATAATGATATGTTCATAGGGCTTTGACAAAAAGAAAAAGAAAAGACACGTAAATATAGCGTTCAAATATGACTAAGGTTTGTTTTTTGATAAATAAAATTACAAAATTTAATTCGAAAGTATAATTTTAGTTTTGCAGTTTTCTCTTATTTTTGTTTGACAATTGATGTCGTATCATGTATTATTATTATTTTTGAGTTGAAAAAGTTGTAGTATGTCTAATGTTTGTCATATATATTGTAATGTTATTTCGAAAAGCTTATAATGCATTCTAAATTCCATTATTGCACAACAAGGAAATATGAAATGACTATTAAGTGTAAGAAATTTGAAATGGAATCAGAAACATATCATATGAAAATGGACAATGGGAGATTTGTGATAAATATATATAACACATACCACGACCCTAGTGCTAGAAACCTAGGTACAACAACAAACTAATAACATATGTGCCGAAAAATGTTAGTTATGAATTGAATACTGATGTTTAGGTTGTATATGAAATGGTTAACTTTTCGAGTCTATTAATATGTGCAACCTTGGACGCATCGTGTTCCAGTAAAACAATTTATAGAATGATGTCGGATTCATAAAACGACATCATTTTATTCTTAATAGAAACGGTCAAAATTATTAAAAACAAATAAAACTTAAATATAAAGGAAAATCGACGTTTAGCTTATGCATCCATATTCATCACCAACACAACAACACTTGTGAAGAAACAAAGACTAAATCTGAATCCAGTCATCCAAAATAATAGAAAAGCAAAAAGAGCAAATAACTTTGCATTCCAATAGGTATAAGCTCTTCATCTTTGTTGACTAACAACTTTTCTTCGTATACAATATGAATCTCGCACGTCTTTTTAGATCTGGTGAGTACATATGCCCAATACCGTCCGTGATATCCTCCTTCTCTTCCTTGCCCAGGGATCTAAAATCTTCCAAGAACCTACGATGCATATGTTGCCATAGATCCCATTAGAGAAGACCTCTCCGCTATGTAAGAAACTGAAAACGACTTAAAAATAAAAAACAAAGGAAAATAAAACTTATAAGATAAAAGAGAGAAGGAATGATGTTCTATAATATTTTTGTTCAATATGTTCTATAAGAATTGATAAAAAAAAAAAAAAACAAATCATCTCGCGGAATACCGCAGGTTAAAATCTAGTACTCTAATATTTTAGTTCAATATGGTAGTGGTGTGGCGGGTATATAATTATATAGTATTACACAATTTATTAAATTTTAGTGGGATAAGGCTATAAATTTTAAATAAAATAAAAATGATTATAGTTACCAAATAAAAAACTAAAGACCTACAAGGAACAATGGACATTTTGAGGTTGCAATGCAAGCAGGCCGTCTCTACCCCTAGGCAAGGTAGGCAAATGCCAAGGGTCCAACATTAGTTTCATAAAATTTCTTAAAGAAAAAAGGCCCAAAATATTTTTTTTTTAAAATTTACTAAGAAGGTTTTAATTTTTTTTGGTTTTGCCATAGGTCTCATTATATATTGAGACGGTACTCATGCAAGTAAAGAAAACATCTTGTCTTTGAGTGATCGGATGAACGATAAAAGCTAAACGGCGCATATGGTTAATTCTCCCACGAAAAACTTTACCAGCGAGCTTGGTTTTTCTTACGTTACGTGCAATCACTTTACTGACACTGAATTTCTTTTTCCACTTATATATTTATATATGTACACTTTTTTATTTCTTTATTTGATTAGTAAATAATATTATCAAGTACAATCGTATTCGTATGGCAGTGGATGGTTGGACGTAGCGTATAAGAAAATACAAATTCGTACATTTTATATTTCTGTTAAACTATAAAGACTTAAAGAGCCAATAGGTCGTCGAAAAACAAATTAAAAGCCAAAATAAAAATATTTTCATATCTAATATCTTTCATTATACGGCAACGATCATCCATCACTCAGTTTCCATGTGATTATTGACAGTAGTAAAAGTGAAATGAATAACAATCTATATACTTATCTTGAATAATTTACACACAACATGAATATCAAACTACTTGGGCCGAAATATGATGGGCTGATTTTGTTCATTCTGACTGCTGACCCATTTTACGTCGTTTGCGAGAGATCATTTCATGAAACAATTCCTATATTGGCCTCCCTCAATACTCTGATCTTAAATTCTTAATCGTAGTCTCACATCAACGAATGGTAAATCAATTTTGTAAGCTCTAAAAAGCGATGCATTTTTGGATAATATACTAAAGTAATAGAGTTGAAACCGAATCTTCGTATACGAGATGACATACTTTATAAAACAAAAAATACATTACTAAAACGGCAATTATTACGAAACGTATGAAGTAATATAGATTTATGATATATAAAAAACACAACAACACAAAACATGTTTTATGTTGTCATGTATTATATTTATTTTAAGAGTTTCATATCATTTTTTGGAGAACGTCTAAGATGATGGGGGACATCCAGGATTTTGATAACCAGGACGACAATAAGGTCTAACTGGGAATTGCTTCACTGATATCACCGCATCATGGTTCGATGGAGGTGGAGGAGGAAATGGCTCGGTTGGGATAATCGGTGGATAAAACGGTTTAGAGTCGGTTTGAAATTTTGGATTTAGCGTAGGAGAAAAAGGCTCAACCCTAGCATGACCAAGACCAGATGCAAGAAGAAGCAGAGTAACCACCATTGTTTTTGCGGGGAGTTTCACAATCATCTTCATATTTTGATTTGTGTTTGAAAATGTCTACCCTAGATTTTTATTTATATTGTTGTGACAAAAATAATATAAAGCAATATAATTTTCTTTTTGTTGACTAGAATTATATGCTGTGACAAAAAAAGAAAGACAATTAATATCATAGATTTTTGACTAGATCCTATGTTGTAAATATAGAAATAAAGTTATATGTAGTTGAATAATTGTGGTGATCTCATTGGCGAGATAATTCAACCTTGTATGTGATGTAATGTAAGTAAAAGAAAAAACAAACTACCGTGTATACGCATTATATAACTTGCATGCTTCATGCTATTTATAAATGTTTTGATTGATTTTTGGTGTCAAACCGCTTGAGTTTTTTTACATTTGTCTTAACCTATATGACATAGGCGGCACATTGTAATCGTAGCCAATAAGAAGGATCATTTACGTTGTTAAAAGGCCTTCACTATGGGACACTTGAAACTATCGTTTATGTTTGGAGGGAGACAAGGCAACCAATGTGCCAATGGCATTGCTAAACTTTGGTTCTTCTTGTGATTTGTACTTTGCTATTTGGGATTGTTAATACCCCTATAAGGTTTGAACCAGTCGTGGAATGAGAAACATTGTGTTTATTTTCTAGTATTAATTTAAAGTTCGTATGTTTGGAGGGAAAAAAAATTAAGGGAGACTCACAAAAATGCCCCTTTTTCAATACTCCTTTTCAAAAATGCTCCTTTTGGATGTCTATTTTTAAAAATACCCCTTTTATGTACAAAATGACTAAATTACCCTTCTTTTAATAAAAGATATTATAAATATATAAGGAAATATAACAAAATTAGGTCCACAAAATACAAAATATTTTTTGGCGGGAAAAGTGATCCCCCAATTTTTCCCGCCAAAACACTTGTAAAAATTTGTAAAACCTTTAAAATACCTTGTAAAATTTTCCCGTAAAATTTTTTCCCGCCAAAAAATTTTCCCGCCAAAAAATTTTTTTTGCGGGAAAAGTAATTCCGCAATTTTTTTGGCGTTAAATTTTTGGCGGGAAAATTTTTCCCACCAAAAACTTACAGGTGTTTTAAAGGTTTTTTACAAGGTATTTATAAGGTTTTACAATGTATTTTAAAAGGTTTTACAACGTATTTACAAGGTATTTATAAGATATTATAAGATTTTACAAGCTTTTTTATAAGGTTTTTACAAGTTATAAGGTTTTACAAGTTTTTTATAAGGTTTTACAAGTTATAAATACCTTATAAAACCTTAAAAGTACCTTGTAAAACCTTTTAAAATACATTGTAAAACCTTACAAAACACTTGTAAATACCTTGTAAAAAACCTTTAAAATACCTTGTAAATTTTTCCCGCCAAAAATTTTCCCGCCAAAAAAATTGCGGAATCACTTTTCCCGCAAAAAAAAATTTTTGGCGGGAAAAATTTTACGGGAAAATTTACAAGGTTTTTTAAAGGTTTTACAAGTGTATTGGCGGGAAAATTGCGGGATCACTTTTCCCGCCAAAAAATATTTTGTATTTTGTGGACCTAATTTTGTTTCAAATAAGGGTAAAATGGTCATTAAAAATTAAAAGAGGGCAAACTTAAAAATGGACTCTCAAAGGAAGCATTTTTGAAAAGGGGTATTGAAAAAGAGGTATTTTTAACAATTTCTCAAAAATTAAACTCATTCATATTTCTCATCACTTGGCTTGTTCTTCTTCATAATTTCAGACTCACCCACTTCAACTTTCTACGAAAATACAAGAACGAATATTTTTATAAACATTTATAAAACAACTTACAAAATCTTATTAAAAACATACGTTAATACTTTAACAACAAGATATATACATTTGTTATTTATAAGCAGTCGAAGTATTACGAATTATAAATTATATACTTAGAGCCACATTTAGGTCAAGACACATTCAAATCGAAAACAAATTAGTTTGTTGATTTTAAAAGAGTGAAAACATGAAATCGCCAAAAACGATGTAGTTTTAAAATGAATGCCTGCTTGTATTACACACGAGGCAATCTGAATTCTCATTGCATAAGAATTCTTATTAAGCAAAGACAACACATAACGAAACCTTATTGGAAACTGTCATACAAGATTATAACATTCAACAGAGAGATCAAAGTCTTTGTCTTTCATTCACAGCTTAGTGAGACAATCCAAGAAAAACACGGCAAATTGTGAATCCCTCAGCTTTTTATCCGCCACGGTTTCATCATCGAAACAATCTGCAACAACATGAGTAATTTCCTTTAGTTTACTCAACATTTTACACAAAAAAGATTCAGAACCAAACCAAAGAGGGCAGTCTAATAGAAGATAAGATACAAAAAAAAAGACACCTATCTATCAGATCATTACTATAAAGCAAAGAGGCAACAAACACAGAAATCAGACAAAGCTAATGTTACACACGTAGATGACAAAACGCAGCAAAAAAGCGACCTGTCTCTCGAAACAATCTGCAACAAGACGAGTAATTTCGTTTAGTTTAGAACCTTCAACAAAAAAGATTCAGAACCAAACCAAAGAGTGTAGTCTCATAGAAGATAAGATACAAAAAAAGGCACCTATCTTTCAGATCATTACTATAAGGCAAAGAGGCAACAAACACAGAAATCAGACTAAGCTAATCATCACAGATAAGTATAGCTAATTTGTATTGATCTGAAAGCGTTTTATTCGGCTTTTGCTTATACAAAACGAAAACCAAAGGCACACACGTAGATGACAAAACGCAGCAAAAAAGCGACCTGTCTCTCGATCAAGCCTAATTAGCAATATGCTAATAGCTGGTAACTTTTAAGAGTGTCCATAAAGATAAATCACTAAAAGCCATAATCATAAAACATGTGACCGATTAACTTAGTTCAGGATTCTAAAAGCCATAACCATTTTTATTGAACTTAAATCTTATTAACTATTAGTATTAATCTGAATCTTTGTTTATACATGCTGCAAAGGAATGGATTCATCTCAAACCAATACACATTAGCCATTGACAATAAAGCTGTTAACTTTGAATTACTGAAAATTAGACAAAAAACATGAACTTTGATCTAATCCCAAAACTTGATTCTAACCATTTTTGCCAAGTAAATCCCAAATTATATGCACAAATCTTACTCTATCTAACTTTTTGTTTATCCAATCTTTCACAGAGAAGTCAAATCGATTTAGGATTCAAAACCTCCAAGAAGCAACACTAATTCGAGGAAATTTGAAAATATTACCTAATCGCTCTCTCAATGAGACGGAGCAGGTTGTTTCTGATGCGATGGTTGAGAAGAAGGAGCCATGAGTTTGCTATAGATCTGTTCACCGACGAGAAAAACGCAGAAAGAAGCAACACCGATTCCGAGACCTGGAAGTGCGTGTCTCATTTGATTCGATAGCATCGGATGCTTCCTCCACTCATCTCTTCGCCGGAAAAATTCTCCGGTAGATCCCAATGGTTTCGCCATTTTCTCCGGTCTTCGTCGATCTTACGTTTTTTCTCTTTAGATGGGTTGTTTTATTGTAATCATTAATGGGCCTTATTAAAAAACCCATTAGTTTTAAGGAATCGTTAATGGGCCTATTGGGCTTAATGTTATAGTTGGCCTTATATGTATTGGTTTCGCCGGTGAACTGGAGTTTCCATCTTCTCTCCGGCGAGACAAAACATGGCGATGCTTCAAGCGAATCTTACATCTCCGACATTTCTGTGTCCGAAGCTTGTAGTCAAATCGATCTCAGTTTCTCTGGGCTTTAGCTATCGTTCCCAAGGCAATCTCTCATTCTCTTTTTATACACTCAAACCAATTAATCTCTGTTTCGGTGAGGAGATTTTGATTGTTTACGAATGTTGATTTTTCAGTTCAAAAACTTGATTTTTTGAAAAGGGTTAATAGAAGATACAAAAGGGATGGTTTGTTATTGTCAATCAAGTGTTCTTCGTCTACTGGATTTGATAATGTAAGTTCGGAATTTGGAATCAAGTAAATTTTGAAGCTTTTTTCTCTAGTTTAAGTTTTTGTTTTTTTCAGAGCAATGCCGTTGTGAAGGAGAAAAGTGTCTCAGTGATTCTATTAGCTGGAGGTCAAGGCAAGAGAATGAAAGTAAATTTTTTTCTTAAGTGTCAAAGTTTCAAACTTTATGCTCAAGTTTTAATTGTTTGTTTTTCTGTGGAATCTCATTTCTCACCATTTTGTTTGGTTTTGTATCTGTTAATGTGAATAGATGAGTATGCCAAAGCAGTATATACCACTTTTGGGTCAGCCAATTGCTTTGTATAGGTAACATTTCTTACTTAAAAGTCAGTTATTGGTAAAGCCTTCTATGTTGTTTGAATCTCATTTCGATTGATGGAAGAATTGTAATTTGGCTGTTTTCAATCTGCGGAATCTACTTGTTTATTAGTATTGTACCATTTAAAAGCATAAGAACGTTTGGATTACTTGTGAAGAGGTCTACTTTGCTTTGTGTTTGTTAAATTTTATGTTTTATTGTTGCAGCTTTTTCACATTTTCACGTATGCCTGAAGTGAAGGAAATTGTAGTTGTATGTGATCCATTTTTCAGAGACATTTTTGAAGGTTTAGTTCCGCTTTCTCTCATTAGTTATGTTTTTTGGTTGAGAGATCTTCCAAAGATTTCACGGAGCTTTTATCTGTGGTCTTATAGAATACGAAGAATCAATTGATGTTGATCTCAGATTTGCTATTCCTGGGAAAGAAAGACAAGATTCTGTTTACAGTGGACTTCAGGTTTATTCCTTAAAAAGAAATGAATTTTTTCCTCTAAAGAAATGATTCTACAACATACTGTCTGTTCTAGTTCATATAAGCTTGAAGTTTATTTCTCGCAGGAAGTTGATGTGAACTCTGAGCTTGTTTGCATCCACGACTCTGCCAGACCGCTGGTGAATTCTGAAGATGTCGAGAAGGTATACTTATGAGAAGTAGCAAAAGATTTAGGAGAATGAAACAAATTTCTCTAAGTCCCTTTAGAATTTATTTCACTGTTGTGTTTCGTGAAGGTCCTTAAAGATGGTTCCGCGGTTGGAGCAGCCGTACTTGGTGTTCCTGCTAAAGCTACAATCAAAGAGGTACAAATTCTTCAATTTATTTGGCCAAAATCTAAAAGTTTGTTTTTTTTTTTTGGTATTTTGGTCATCATCGCATTTTCGATATTAAAGTTGTTCCATTGCAGGTCAATTCTGAATCGCTTGTGGTGAAAACTCTCGACAGAAAAACACTTTGGGAAATGCAGACACCACAGGTTTTAAAATATTTACATGCTTTGTGATCGATTTTTGGTTTCAAACCACTTCAATGTATTCTTTCTCTTTAGGTGATCAAACCCGAGTTATTGAAGAGAGGTTTCGAGCTTGTGAAAAGGTTTGTGTACCTTAAAACTATTGACGCCTGGATTGATTAAAATATAAAATAGACTGTTTACTATGATGATGTTTTGATTGTTGAATAACTTGTGAAAAGGTTTGTGTTTTATATCTAAAACAGAGAAGGTCTAGAGGTAACAGATGATGTTTCGATTGTTGAATACCTCAAGCATCCAGTTTTTGTCACTCAAGGATCTTATACAAACATCAAGGTAAAAAAGCACTAATTTAGGCAGTGAATGAAAACAAATTTGTATATTGTTTATTGCTAATACTGTCTCCTCCATTGCAGGTTACAACACCTGATGATTTACTGCTTGCTGAGAGAATCTTGAGCGAGGACTCATGAGGTATCATTTACAAAGTTTTTGTTTTTGCTTAGTAAGAAAATATTCATAGAGCTTTTAGGAGTTCACTAAAAGGTTCATGAATGATCAAATAGCTTAATCATTGTTGATATGTATGTGTAGGATCAGGATGGTGTCACGGTTTGGCTCTTCAGTTTTTGGATCAACTGTCGAAAAGTTTGAGTTTGTTTTTGGCGTTTTTAGCGAATTGTAAACGATTTTTTCTTCTTCTTTTATTACAAGAAAAAAATTGTATCCAACGGTATAAATAAAATTTTGTATAATTTTATAATCTGTATGAAAAACTTTAATATCACTTGATATGAAACATAACTAGTATTATATTTATGATTAATTTATACCTAAAACATCTAAGTTGATGACCTATAAATTCAGAAGATAAAAAGGTATGCATGAAAAATGCTTTATTGAAATCTTTGCATTCTAGTTTGGTGGAGGATACCAAAAACCCGGAGGTATATAAGATGTGCCTGAGAGTAGTGTTTCACTCAAAACTGCTTGCTGTGAATTTGGATTCTAACGTAGCCAATTCGAAGTCAAATTTGCATATCGCAGTAAAGGTTCGCACTAAGCCGATAAGGGTGCCACGAGCGAGCACAAATGTGGATCCAAGAGAATCCAAACTCATAGAAGGGAGTAAGAACAAGATCCGAATTCGACAATAACTGTAATTCTTCCTTGAAAATTAAAGAAAGTACATTTTCTACAACGAACGTTATAGAAAGGAGACTTGAAACTAATGCATGAATTAATCGAACAAATTTGTGAGACGAAGAAGAAATAGAGAGAACGAGGAACAAAGAGGAAGCTAGAAGAAGTCCATTGTAAGATGAAAAGTCAGAATCATACATATATATGATTTTCAAATCATATCTCCTCTATTCGTCACCTTTTGTTCGATAATTTTATGGCCTAATATAGATAGATAGCTATATATGGAAAACCAGAACGTAAAAAAGTTTATTTGTGAGGAATTGGTTATGTCGTAGGTTGAATACTAGACTTGTTCCATAGCGATATGCAGGTTGATTCTGAATAAATAACGGTAAAAAATTTCGAGAGAAAAATCCTTTAGGAAATGCAGACCACACATTTGTTATATAATTTTCATGCTTTATATCGTAATTTGGATTTATTTTTGGTTTCAAGCCACTTGAGTTTATACTTTCTTGTTAGGTGATCAAAGCCATTGAAGAGAGGTTTCCAGCTTGTAATATAGATTTATGATATAAAAAAGTAAAACAATAATACAAAACAGGGTTTCCAAAGTTATGTATTATATTTATTTTAAATTAAAAACATATGAGTTTATGGGCTACAATTTTTATAACCTGAATGATAAAAACATATGTATGGGTATTAGTTCAATGATATTTTCGCATTTTGGTGTGGTGGATGTCCTGGATGTTTTGGAGGTTCTGGATAATGAGGAATTGGAAATACGCCTGGAAATTGATTCACTGATACCTTTGTATTTTGGTGTGGTGGATGTCCTGGATATTTTGGAGGAGATGGTAGATGCGGGACTTGAATTTGGTTTACTGATATCTTCACATTCTGGTTTGGTGGAGGAGGAGGTTTCACGATTGGTAAAGTTGGGTATCTAGCATGGGCAAGACCAAATACAAGAAAGAACAGGGTAACCACCATTGTTATTGGAGAGAACTTCACAATCATTTTCATATTTTTGTTTGTGATTAAAAATGTTTACCCTACCTTTCTTATTTATATTGGTGTAACATAAATAACAAGAAGAAATATAATTAGTTTTGGTTGACTAAAATTATATGCTTACCAAAAACGTAAGGCAATATGATAATTATTTTACTTAAATTGTATGTTATAAATATAGTAATATAGTTATATTAGTTGAATATATGTTATGATTTCTTAATATATGTTATGATTTCTTTGGCAAAATATAAATTAGTTCTTTATAAATTATACGTTCATTCATTTGAAGATCATATCCAATGAATATTTCCTCAAAAGAGATGATTCCACAACATACCATCAATTCTAGCTCAAAACCATTAATTCTAGTTCATATAACTAGACATGTCAAACGGGTTAAACAGTCAGTTGAATATATGTTATGATTAAAAATAAAAATAAAAAACAATATATATATATATATATATATATATAGAAGATAAATTAAATAAAAATATAATAAATATTGTATCAAAAAACAATTAGTTTGTTTTTCTAATTTATTCAACGCGACATACACTTTCATCTTTTACATTTAGTAACTTGTCAACTTTTCATCTCCAGGCTTAAATTAGGTCAAGTTTTCAATTTACATAATTCTTTTGTTCATTTTAATTGTTTTGTAGACTTGAAAAGGGTTTAACAATTTCAATTTTGAGTTGTTTCAATATGTGTCATAAACCAAGTTAATAGGAAACTAAAAATTAGATTAACGGAAGAAAAAAATCACAAATAATTAAAATATTATTTTAACAAATGCGACACAAAAACTTGAAAAATATAAACTATTTCTCAAGGATAACCTATTATTCGATTATTTCATAGTAACATTTTTGAAGTTTTATAAGATAGATAACAAAAATGGACTTGTTGAAACCCATAGGATAAGAACTTTACAGTGAATAAATTAAAACTGTCCTTTGACATATCATTATCAAACAGAATTAAGGAAAAACTATGTGGAAGTGGAAGAACATATGATAAATTAGAGCTTGAGGGAACAATTTTGTTTTTCATGACTTAAGAACTTAGTTTCATCTTCTA